CTCAGTGTCTATGCCAGAGTTTTTAAGGTTGGCTTTGAGCCCATCTTTCAATCTCTTTTCCTGTCCACCAACGTTCCGTTTTCCGTTCTTAAGTTCAGAGTAGAGCAACTGCTTTGGGAGACGGTGGTCAGGCATCCGGACAATGTGGCCGGCCCAGCAGAGTTGATGTTGGAGGACCATCACTTCAATGCTGGTAGTCTTGGCTTCTTCCAGCACACTGTGATATCGAGCTCTTTTGGGGGTCTCCCAGCGGGAGAGATCCCTGAAGACCGCTAAAGGGGTCCGTTGACCTCGGTGAGCAGCCAGCGAAAGCCAATCCAAAGAACGAGAAATATTAAAATTAATCTCACCAGAGGCGAAAGGAGTCCAGCGACCGAGGCGTTTATTTGCGATTCAGCTGAATGGATGCGTTACAGGAATCATTCCACTGCAAGCATGCAGTACAAAGAGATTTCCAGGCATTTTTATACAGTTTAGAACAAAAGAAAGCAGTTTGAAAATCCTGCCCGCCCCCTGTCAGCCGGCTTCACGCTGATTGGCTGAGGCTGGAACAGCTGGGAGGAGGTTTGACAGCCCTCCCCCGTCGGGAGCCAATGGGAGCGTTTCTTCGCCTCGGGAGGGCCAATGGGCGCCCTCCGCTCGCTTCCTGGGTTCTGGCCAATCAGGAGCGAGGAGGCGGGACAGCCGCGGACAATGGGGGAAAGATGATGGGATTTGGGCTTTCCTGCCCGCTGGAATGCGGGCTATTGTCCAAGGCGGGAAGAGGGTGATGTTTGGCAAACAAAAGCTTTCCTGTCCTTGATGAGTTCTGGCAAGGAATTTGAATAACTGGATCGAAATCGGACCGCCCGGGGGATCGACAATTTCTGGGTGATTTAATCAGTCTTTTCTTCCGGGGCCCTGCTGACCTTCCTTCCTTCGTTGGCCTTGCTCCGATGACGAAATCGGGGGGCCAGCAGCATTGTCCATGCATAATGAGTAATCAATGGGTAATTGGGGAAAGAGGCTTGAGCCCTTTCCCCAGGCAGTTCCTGGTCACGCCGGTTTTTCTGGGGTAAGGGGTCAAGGAGGTAAAGATACAATGGAGTTCATAGGGATACATATTTCATATTCATAAACCACAGGCATCATTAATATACAGGCATTTCATATATCACAACCCACCGCCCATCCCAATCCCAATCCATTATTTCATAAAGAAGAAAGCTAGAAGTCCCAAAAGTCCGGACGGAGGGGTTTGGATGCAGGGGCCAGCCTATGGTTTAGGCTGGCCATCAGAAGATCAGTTCATTTTATTAAACAGGAGCTGGAGCTGAAGGGGGAGCTACGTTCCACTGTCCCGTCCTTGGTGGAACTAGCGCTCCCAACCGGGGATCGGGCCTCCCTGCCCGATCCCCACTTCCAAGGCTTCCCCTTGGGCAATCGTGGTGGATCGCAGGCGGCGGGAACCATGCTGGAGCGAGCGGCAGCGAGCGGAATGAAGCAAGCGGCAAAAGCCGGCGAAATTTTGACAATCAGCTGGTGACTCGGCCGAATTTAATGATTAAACAAAAACAATTATTTCACGAGTGCAGGAGTCCAAAATGAGGAAACCAAGATAGCAGTTAGTCTTAGAAGTTAATGTAGAAAAATATAAAATTTGAACGGGCCCGATCCGCCATGTTGTTGTTTTGGCGGATAAGGGGGGCCGATAGGAAAACCTCCGTATCCGCGATTTGAACTAACGCAAATTCGGAGGCCTGGGGAGGCCAGGAAGGCGTCCCCAGTGAGCTCACAGTTCCCCGGAGCTCAGAAAAAGGGTTATTTTGTGTTAGCAAAGTTTCAGGCAGTAAAGGGGACACAAAGTAACAAGCGGAAAAGATTTAAAGTTTCAATTTTTAGTGTTTTATTGGGGGATTTTGTTACAAAGAAAAGGGAGGGGGAAAGTGAAAGAAAAACTTCATGCAGTCCTTTGCTTTGAGCTGCTGGCTGGGGCACATTTCATCCGTTTTCTCCCTTGGTGACCACTGGGAACTGCGGAACTCCCTGCCGCAGTGCAGACCAATTACATGGCGGGGGCTCACTCCAGCACACTGACGTTTGTCCGCTTGTCTTCCCAGGAGATTTGCAGGATTTTCCGGAGGCAGCGCTGATGGAATCGTTCCAGGAGTTGCATGTGACGTCTGTAGACAGTCCACGTCTCACAGGCATAGAGCAGGGTTGGGAGGACAATAGCTTTATAGACAAGCACCTTGGTCTCCCTACGGATGTCCCGGTCCTCAAACACTCTCTGCTTCATTCGAGAAAATGCTGCACTTGCAGAGCTCAGGCGGTGTTGTATTTCGGCGTCGATGTTGACTTTGGTGGAGAGGTGGCTGCCAAGGGAGCGGAAATGGTCAACATTTTCTAATGTTACACCATTAAGCTGTATCTCTGGCATTGGAAAGGGATTGGCTGGTGACTGCTGGAACAGCACTTTGGTTTTCTCGATGTTCAGTGACAGGCCAAGCTTCGTGTATGCTTCTGCGAAGGTGTTTAGAGTGGCTTGTAGATCTTCTTCTGTATGTGCACAGACGACATTGTCATCAGCATACTGGAGTTCTATAACAGATAACCTGATAGATGACATGAAGACGCACGCAGAGGAGATTGAACTTAACATCAAATGTGCAAAAATTGCAGGTGGATGGCCATCTGTTAGGGGTGCTTGGATTATGTCTTCCTGCATGACAGAATAGGGTTGGACTGGATAGCCTTTGTCCAGCTGTATGATTCTATGAAATGCTTCTATGATGTATTATTGTCCAAGGTTCTTCTGTTGAGTTCCCTCCTTCTCTGATCCACTGCCACTGGGCCAGGATGCTTCTGATATTTAATTCTGGGCGAATCTTCCTCTCGAACGCGCTCCACGGGATGGCAATTTACAACATACCCAAGAGCCAAGTTGGGCATTTGATGAATGGAGGATGAATCCAAATGGCTTCTGCACAGCAGCCAATACACATTAGCTCATCCTTGATAGATGAGCCCAGAAAGACCATTAGCCAAGACAGACATAGCCAGAAGCCATCTGTGTACTCGATCGCTGCCTCCTTTTAACTTTATAAAGATTGCAAGAAGTAATCACCTTGTTTAGATGCTGCTACAAGGGAGTTGGGGCTCAGTGTTTACAGGACGAAGGAAGCATGTGTATGCAGAATAAGGCTTTCCTGGGTCCTCCTTCTTTTGAAGCTTTTAAACAGAGGCTGGATGGCCATCTGTCAGGGGTGATTTGAATGCAATATTCCTGCTTCTTGGCAGAATGGGGTTGGACTGGATGGCCCATGAGGTCTCTTCCAACTCTTTGATTCTATGATTCTATGATTCATAGCTGAGAAGAGAAACACTCCAGGTATTTGATAATATTGAGCATTGCCAGTTAAAGTGGTGGCTTGGAAGCTGACCATAAAATTACCTTGGAGTGGTGTTCCCTCTAGAAATCTCTAGCATCTGATATTAATTGGCAGTCTCCCATCCTAATCCTAACCAGGGCTGATCCTGCTTAGCTTCCAAGATCCAATTTGATCTGGGGCTTTTAGGCTCAGTCTTTCTACTTTAGAAAGTATTATAATTGTTTTGAGTGAGTCCTGCCTTCTCCCTAGATGTCCTCAGAGCGTCAGCCTCCAATTAGACATCTTGGGCTGCATCTACACACAATGCAATCTGACATCACTTTCACGGACTTGCCATTAGTTGGACCCCAAGATTTGCCTCTAATATGTTGTTGTTCATTCATTCAGTTGTTTCCAACTCTTCGTGACCTCATGGACCAGCCCACGCCAGAGCTCCCTGTCGGCCGTCACCACCCCCAGCTCCTTCAAGGTCAATCCAGTCACTTCAAGGATCCCATCCATCCATCTTGCCCTTGGTCGGCCCCTCTTCCTTTTTCCTTCCATTTTCCCCAGCATCATTGTCTTCTCTAAGCTTTCTTGTCTTCTCATGATGTGGCCAAAGTACTTCATCTTTGTCTCTACTATCCTTCCCTCCAATGAGCAGCCGGGCTTTATTTCCTGAAGTATGGACTGGTTGGATCTTCTCGCAGTCCAAGGTACTCTCAGCACTTTCCTCTAGCACCACAGTTCAAAAGTGTCTCTCTTCCTTCACTCAGCCTTCCTTCTGGTCCAGCTCTCACATCTGTTGGTTACTACGGGGAATACCATGGCTTTAACTAGGCGGATCTTGGTTGCCAGTGTGATGTCTCTACTCTTCACTATCTTATCAAGATTGGACATTGCTCTCCTCCCAAGAACGAAGCATCTCCTGATTTCCTGGCTGCAGTCTGCGTCTGCACTCATCTTTGCACCTAGAAATACAAAGTCTGTCACGGCCTCCACGTTTTCTCCCTCTATTTCCCAGTTGTCAATCATTCTTGTTGCCATAATTTTGGTTTTTTTATGTTTAGCTGCAACCCAACTTTTGCTCTTTCTTCTTTCACCTTGATTAGAAGGCTCCTCCTCGCTTTCGGCCATCAGAGTGGTGTCATCTGCATATCTAAGGTTGTTAATGTTTCTTCCAGCCATTCCATGGTGTGTTCTGATTGTTGCTACTTGGTCATTGTACAGATACCATCTGTTGAGGAGTTACGAAGGTGGAGGCATTACTTTTCATTCAACCCTCGTAGATTCTAAGATTACATAGCACTGAGCCGTGAAAGTTAAAGGATTGGTGCACTAGGGCCAAATCTTACACCCCAAACCCCTTCTGCACTTTCAGGGTGCATCTGCACTGTTGAATGAATGCAGTTTGGCACCCCCTTTCATTGCAATGGCTCAAGGTTATGGCATCCTGGGATGTGTAGTTTGTAGGGGTCCAGCACCTAAACCCTCTGGCAAAGCTACTGCCAAACTGCATTCAATATGCAGAATACTTACTGGGATGTCTGTGATTTAGCAAAGCAAGGGAATGCAAACTGTGGGCGGGGCTTAATCCAGGGGGCGTGCCTAGGGCCTTTGATTGACACCTCCCTTCCTACCTCTCTCTTTCCCTGGCAAGTGGAGCTCACAGCAGCAAGTCTTCGCAGCTTGAGGAGATCAGAGACCTCTTCGGGAGCGCCAGGAAGGTCAGTTTGCTTCTTTGGAGTGGGATCCTTTGGGGATTAGGCATCAAAGGCATAGCTCTTGAGGGTCCCGCCAACCCTGCAAGGCAGGCCAAGGGAGGGGACTCAGGAAGGTCTCTTGCTTCTATAGATTCAATAGGTACAGGGATAAAGAGTAGAGTTCAACATAGGAAACACTGCCCTGCATGGATCCATTGACCTGCGCAGAAAGGTACCCCAGAAGCACTGGTTTCTGCCTCCTCTTGGGTGCTAAGCAGGGCCAGCCCTGGTGAGTGTTCGGATGGGAGACCGCCAAGGAAGTGAGGGAAGGACATGGGACTATCAGAAAGCAATGCTATCACTCACTCAGCCACTCTTTAGGAGCGTTTAGGAGTTAGTGGTGTTGAACCTATGCCATATGAAAGCAGAAGGTCTGATTTTGGAGTGCTAAGCAGGGTCAACCCTGGTGAGTGTTTGGATGGGAGACCGCCAAGGAAGTGAGGGAGGGACATGGAACTGTCAGAAAGCAATGCTATCACTCACTCAGCCACTCTTTAGGAGCGTTTAGGAGTTAGGGGTGTTGAACCTGTGCCATATGAAAGCAGAAGGTCTGATTTTGGAGTGCTAAGCAGGGTCAGCCCTGGTGAGTGTTGGGATGGGAGACCACCAAGGAAGTGAGGGAAAGACATGGAACTATCAGAAAGCAATGCTATCACTCACTCAGCAACTCTTTGGGACCATTTAGGAGTAAGTGGTGTTGAACCTGTGCCATATGAAAGCAGAAGGTCTGATTTTGGAGTGCTAAGCAGGGTCAACCCTGGTGAGTATTTGGATGGGAGACCACCAAGGAATAGCAGGAGCTACAGTAGTCGACATTTCTCAGGGAGGAACATGGAACTTTTAGAAAAGTAAGGCTATCATGAACTCAGCCACTATTTGGTGATGAACCCGTGTCGTATAAAAGCACCAGGTCTGTCTTGGAGTGTTCAGCAGGGCCAGCCCGGGTGAGTATTTGGATGGGAGACCACCAAGGAAGTGAGAGAAGGACATGGAACTATCAGAAAGCAATGCTATCACTCACTCAGCCACTCTTTAGGAACATTTAGGAGTTAGGGGTGTTGAACCTGTGCCATATGAAAGCAGAAGGTCTGATCTTGGAGTGCTAAGCAGGGACAGCCCTGGTTAGTATTTGTATGGGAGAACACCAAGGAATAACAAGTGCTACAGTAGGCAATATTTCTCAGGAACATGGGACCATAGGAAAAGCAAGGCTATCATGAACTCAGCCACTATTTCGGAATATTTGGGATTATGTGGTGTTGAACCTTTGCCATATGAAAACAAAAGTTCTGATCTTGGAGTGCTAAGCAGAGCCAGCCGTGGTGAGTATTTGGATGGGGGACCAAGACCGTCAGTGGGTGCATCTACACTGTAAAATTCATTGGGTCACCATAAGTTGAAAGATGACTTGAAGGCACGTGCCGCCATGCTCTTGCACAGGACTTCATTTTGGAAGCTAAGCAGGGTCAGCCCTGGTGAATATTTGGATGGGAGACCAGGAGAGGAGGGGGCATTGTCCAGGGATAGACTGAGGGACCAATTTGGGCATCGGTATTAAACCCTTAAAACATAGAAGCACCAGATCTGATCTTGGAGGCTAAGCAGGGTCAGCCCTGGTGAATATTTGGATGGGAGACCGGGAGAGTAGGGGGCATAGTCCAGAGATAGACTGATGGACCAATCTGGGCATCGGTATTAAACCCTTAAAACATAGAAGCACTTGGGGGCTAAGCAGGGTCAGCCTTGGTGAGTATTTGGATGGGAGACCGAGGCTGTCAATGCTGTAGAATTAAGGTGGTGTGGCATGGTTTGACCTGCCAGGACTCAATGCTATGGAATCTTAGGAGTGGTAGTGTGGTGAGCAGAGACCTTGTAAAACTGCAACTGAGCCACGACAATGAATATGTGTCAATCTGCATTCATTCTGCCGAGTAGACACACCCCAGGTGGACCATTTTGGATTTAGGAGTATTTCAGTAAGATGTGATCCTATGCCAGAAAAAGCACCTGAATGGGATAGACGAGGAACCGGCAAAATCACCTCTGGATATCCTCTGCCTTAAAACCCTATGAAATTCATTGGGTCGCCAGAAGTTGACAGATGACTTGAAGACATGTGCCGCCATGCTCACACCCAGGACATTGTTTTGGAAGCTAAGCAGGGTCAGCCCTGGTGACCACTTGGATGGGAGGCCATCAATGCAACTGGGTCTGTATTTCAGAGGAAAGGACACGGAGGCTAGATCTACATTGCCATACAATCCAGTATCTGCTTTGAATATTAGCCTGCGTTGCCATATAATCCACCTCAAAGCAGATAATATGGCACCAGAAACTGAATTGTACTTACTTATTTACTTAGACGATCACTCGTTGTCCAAGTACGGTGTCCTGGTGGTGGGTTCGTAGGTGGCCCTATTTTTGATCCGCATGTTCTCCCACAATGAGGGTATTGGTTGAAAGCAGTCTCGGTCAGGGTTGGCTTGATGCGCCTTCCTCTTGGCACATTTCTCTCTTTCGCCCTCCATTTGTGCCTCTTCAAATTCTACAGCACTGCTGGTCACAGCTGACCTCCAGCTGGAGGGCTCAAGGGCCAGGGCTTCCCAGTTCTCGGTGTTTATAAATAACCCCGGTGGCGGGGTATAAATAAAAATTATTATTATTATTATTATTATTATTATTATTATTATTATTATTATTATTTGAAACACAGCAAGATGAGTCATAGAATCATAGAATCATAGAATCAAAGAGTTGGAAGAGACCTCATGGGCCATCCAGTCCAACCCCATTCTGCCAAGAAGCAGGAATATTGCATTCAAATCACCCCTGACAGATGGCCATCCAGCCTCTGTTTAAAAGCTTCCAAAGAAGGAGCCTCCACCACCCTCCGGGGCAGAGAGTTCCACTGCTGAACGGCTCTCACAGTCAGGAAGTTCTTCCTCATGTTCAGATGGAATCTCCTGTCTTGTAGTTTGAAGCCATTGTTCCGCGTCCTAGTCTCCAAGGAAGCAGAAAACAAGCTTGCTCCCTCCTCCCTGTGGCTTCTGCTGGCTGTTGTATTGGATCATTGGATTTATTATTATTATTATTATTATTATTATTATTATTATTATCATAATTATAGCTTTATAAACAAGCACCTTGGTATTCCTATGGATATCCCGGTCCTCAAACACTCTATGGGGAGGACAATAGCTTTATAAACAAGCACCTTGGTATCCCCACAGACGTCCTGGTCCTCAAACACTCTCTGCTTCATTCGGAAAAATCTGCACTCGCAGAGCTCAGGCGGTGTTGTATTTCAGTGTCAATGTTGACTTTTGTGGAGAGGTGGCTGCCAAGGTAGTGGACATGGTCAACATTTTCTAATGTTACACCATTAAGCTGTATTTCTGGGATGATATCAAATGGCTAATTTTGAAGAATCATAGAATCATAGAATCAAAGAGTTGGAAGAGACCTCATGGGCCATCCAGTCCAACCCCATTCTGCCAAGAAGCAGGAATATTGCATTCAAATCACCCCTGACAGATGGCCATCCATCTGCACAACCAAAGAGCACTTTGGTTTTCTCAGTGTTCAATGACAGGCGTTTAGAGTGGCTTGTAGATCTTCTTCTGAATGCGCACAGACATCATTGTCATCAGCATATTGGAGTTCTATAACAGATGTTGTTGTAACCTTGGTTTTGGTTTTCAGTCTGCTGAGGTTAAATAGCTTGCCATCTGTCCGATAGATGATTTCCACTCCAATGGGAAGTTTCCCCTACACACATACACACACACAACATACACTGTATATCTTCAATACTCTGTGCTTCATTTGGAAAAATGCCTTGTATGGCAGTGTAGATGGAACCTGGGTATTCCTTCCATTGAAACTCACGGTCTCACCAGAAATCAACAGGTGACATAGAACGAGAGGGAACCTGGTGAGTGCTTGGATATGAGACCACCTGTGACTGACAGTGAGTGCCGTAGGGCTGCATTTCAGAGGAAAGAACCAGCAAAACTACCTCTGAGTCATTCCTTGCCTGAGAAAACCTGATGAAATGCATGGGGTTGCCATAACTGTTGACTGTTGAAGGCTCAAAAACGGAACATCTCTTACCCCCAAAACATTGCAGGGTTAGAACTTCCAAAGCAGTGGAGACTGTCCCATAGCAGACAATAGCAATCCAAAAGAAGAACCTTCCTCAAGCCCAGACGGAATACCAATGAATACTCGGTGCTATAGCAAGCATGGGCAAACTTGGGCCCTCTAGGTGTTTTGGACTTGAACTCCCACCATTCCTAACAGCCTCAGGCCCCTTCAGGCTGCACTGCGACAAAAATGTATCAGCTGTCCAGTTATATGCATATAAGACACTATAGTGTGATTACCATCTATTGATCAACCTAGCTATCAATCTGTTTATTTGTCATGTATATATGTATGTCCGTTTGTACCACAAAGCCCGTTGCTAGGTGAAGTGGCCCTGTGTGATGTCACTGTGTTATCTGTTGCTAGGTGAAGTGGCCCTGTGCGATGTCAATGGGGTGGTTGTTGCTAGGTGAAGTGGCCCTCTGTGATGACAATGGGGTGGTTGTTGCTAGGTGAAGTGGCCCTCTGTGATGACAATGGGGTGGTTGTTGCTAGGTGAAGTGGCCCTCTGTGATGACAATGGGGTGGTTGTTGCTAGGTGAAGTGGCCCTCTGTGATGACAATGGGGTGGTTGTTGCTAGGTGAAGTGGCCCTCTGTGATGACAATGGGGTGGTTGTTGCTAGGTGAAGTGGCCCTCTGTGATGACAATGGGGTGGTTGTTGCTAGGTGAAGTGGCCCTCTGTGATGACAATGGGGTGGTTGTTGCTAGGTGAAGTGGCCCTCTGTGATGACAATGGGGTGGTTGTTGCTAGGTGAAGTGGCCCTCTGTGATGACAATGGGGTGGTTGTTGCTAGGTGAAGTGGCCCTCTGTGATGA